ACACTTTTGGTCAATTATCTGTAAGAGAATTTCCTTGAGATAAACCGGTCTATGGTTATACTCAAGAAGGCTTTAACAGGTGTTAAAGTGGTTATTGTATTCAGTTGAATATAGTGGATTAAGACCTCGTTGGAGAGAGGCGAAATCACCTTGACGGGTGGACTAGAGTAGTTTGAGATCAAACGAACCAGGATAAAAATACCGTGTTGATTAAGATTTTGATTTAAGTTTTACAATTCAACCCCCCCTTCTTATGTTTTTCACATCTTCATTTACTATTTCCAAAAAGATACTAGGAAGCCTGGATCCGACCAGATATTAGCATAATTTTCAAGTTATTACTGAAGCCTGGACCCGACCAGATAATAGTTTGACTTCTTCAAGTTACTGAAACCTGGACCCGACCAGATAACAGATTTGAATACCTGAAACCTGGATCCGACCAGATAACAGTTGATCTCAATTTCAAGATACTATGAAACCTGAACCCGACCAGATAATAGTCTAACTCTTCAAAGATATAGAAGAACCTGGACTCAATCCGACCAAGGTTTAACTTCTTTTCCCCAGTAGAGTTTGCCTCTGCCCCAACAAATTACTGAGAAACCTGGACCCGACCAGATATCATTTTTCAAATTCCATCTTTTCAAGTAAGTTATTGTGAAGCTTGGATCCGACCAGATAGCAATTACCCTCGGAGATTCGTTGTGAAACTTGGAAACCGACCAAATAATAACTAAATCCCTAAACAGTTTATTGTAAAGCCTGGACCCGACCAGATAGCAATTGACCTCATTAATCTCAGAAATCTGCAAAGCCTAGACCCGACCAGATAACAGTTTTTCAAACAGTTTATTATAAAGTCTGGACCCGACCAGATAACAGTTTTTCAAACAGTTTATTATGAAGCCTAGACCCGACCAGATAACAGTTTTTCAAAAAGTTTATTGTGAAGCCTGGACCCGACCAGATAACAGTTTTTCAAACAGTTTATTGTGAAGTCTGGACCCGACCAGATAATAATTTTTCAAAAAGTTTATTGTGAAGCCTGGAGCCCGACCAGATAACAATTAACTGTGATCCCCAGAGAGACACTATGAAGCCTGGAATCGACCAGATAATAGTACAACTTTCCAAAAACCATGAAACCTGGACCCGACCAGATAGTAGTTACCACTTCAAGTTACTGCGAAGCCTGGATCCGACCAGATAACAGTTAACCTCTGTATCCCCAGCAAGTTGTTGTGAAGCCTGGATCCGACCAGATAACTATTCAATTTCAGGAAATTTTATGCAAAGCTTGGAATTCGACCAGATAACAGTTAATTCGTCTCATCCTCAGCAAGTTGTGAAGCCTGGATCCGACCAGATAACAACTGATGTTCAAGAGATATTCCCCAGCGGAAGCATCCTTTCAACAAAGTTTGAAGATATGTATATTCTTCATCCCCAGTGACAATTAGGGATTTAACCTCCCAGAAATTCCATAGCAGCAGTCAGGGATTTATTTTCTCGAACATAAACATACATCTCACATTCATACATCATAGCATGTACATACCCTATGCATTTAGCATAATACCGAATCTGGTGAACATCATGCATGCATCTGCATTTTACTAACTCTTTTTCTCACAGGTAAAACATTAAGTTTTAGTATAAATTAATAAGAGATTTGTGCTGATATTTCTTCTAATGTTTATTAAATTTTCTCCAAATGGCATCTATAAGCCCATTCACAATCCATCTTCGAGTGAAAATTTCTGGGCATTTTAGTGTTCAATCATCTTTCACCTTCAAGTCACGAATGGTGGACTCACCAATCTAACTCTTCAGGTTTAAGAAGATTGAACAGGGGCAGCTGTTGTACCCCAAAATTTGCCCTCTTATTTCTCAAAGGATCACCCTGAATCCTCAAGTTTGCTTCCATCCAATCCCAAGCCTCGAATTACAGATTTTTCAAGAAAGTCATTCACAAGGTTAAAATGCTCATTTGCACATTGAAAAGTCAACTTTTGACTTTTGATCAAAATCAAGTTTCAAGGGTCATATTTCATCAAGACATGTTTGAGATATGAAGTTTGTTTCATCTGGAAATTCAAAAATCAAAAATTACTTTGAAAAAGCCAAATTTCTAAATACTTGGAATTTTTCTAAGTGTTTAAGAAATATGACAGACTTTGAACTTCTGATCAGATTTTCACCATGATGCAAGCTGATTCTGGCAGAACTTCTGATACAATAGTTATAGATTTCAATGAGATCTAAAACATTGCAGAATAGAACTTCTCCTAGAAATTCTGGTATTTCAAGTTATAACTCCTCAAAGACACGTCCATGAAACTAAAACACTCAGTAAATTCTGGGCACTGTCAAAAGAGATTTTGGTCAGAACTTCTGGGCCAGTTTTCACAAGGGTTCAGTCAGAGTTTGCAAGGGCAATTCAAATAAGGTTACAAAGCATGTTGCAAGCATCCTGGAAAGTCTGAGAGCTCCTTCAGAACATGTTGGAGCAAAGAGATACAAAGATCAGAAGTTGGATGTCTATTCTAAGCCACGCTGAAGCTGAACTTATGATCCAGAACTAAGCAATGATGCAGAATATCACGTTGCAGGATTTCTGGTTTGATCAATCTCATCAATATTTAATGCTCACAACCACTTATGGATCTTTGTTCAAAGGGTTTCTCCACGTGTGGCATAGAAGTACCTTTACTGCCTCGGAAAAGCAAACTCTTGTACCAAAGTGTGTTGGGCCCATGCGTTACTTTTGCTTTGGAAGTTACCTTTCCTTAATTCCTGCTTACAATTCCAGCTTAGGCATTGCTAAGGCTACTAACCACCATACTTGCTTCAACATCAAGGCCGCACCCTGGCATGTGATGGTTGCACTCTCCAAGCTACAAGAAGTTTGCCTATAAATTGAAAGCCATTGGCCACTGTAAAAGGGTCGGAAATTTGAGAAAGAAAAGCCCTGAACCCCTGCTAAATTCCAAGAGTCCAAAAACTGCAAACACATAATACAAGACCTATTAGCTTTTGATTCTTGCATTCAAACCCCATTTTTCCTCAAGTGTTTCTCGACCAAAACCGTCCATACAGTTTCTGATTCACATATTAGAAGTTATCCTAACTGTTATGTTCAGACTGTAACACACTCTCCATCCACCTCCACCTCAGAGAAGTCAGAACCATACCCCTTGGCTGTTCCAGAGGTTGAAAATTTCCAACCTGCTGAGTACGTGAAGAAGCTGCTCAGAACATCACCAGAGTTCAGGACCAAACTCCAGCTCACAGAATCTTTTCCAGCTGCAAGGTAAGCTTATGCTGACTCTCATCACATTACTTAAGCATTATCAGATTTGCATGTTCAAAAATACAATGTAGACATCATTTTTCTGATGTTGTACATATTCTGAGGTTTCACGTAGTTGTCTGCCTAAGTAGGGAATAAATCAGTTTAGAACTTCTTGAAAAAATTAAAACTCAGAATTAGGATTAACAAATTCATGCTTGCCTCTGATTTATAGTTCTGATATCTTTTGTTTCTTAAACACTATGAAACCTGCCATAACTGTCATATGCGTATCTTCTGTTTTGTTGAGAAATGACCAAGTTGCAGATGTTTTGACTAGCATGGAAAGGGAGACCAAGTTCTTCCAGTGGTATCAGAACTTCTGAAATCTTCTTTGTTCCCAGCGGACCCAGAACTTCTGACTTTACCTATTTTTACTAATATGACATCTGTTTTGCAGCATGCCAGAGTCAGAACTTCTTATCTCCTTTAGTTAATAATACGCTGATTCTATTTTCTTTTTCTCACTATTTTTGCTATCACTTCCTATTTCATTAATCAAAAAACACCAAAAAAATTTTTTTTCATTTTTTACATGCTTTATTTTATTTCCTAAAACAAAAAGATCAAAAACGTTTTTTTAAACCAAACTTATCTCTTTTCTAAAATAAAACAAGTTCATTTTACATCTCTTGTACATTCTTATCCATTTCAATATGGTTGTAATAGTAACTTAGGATCTAATTTTATTTGCAATCCTCATTCATAAATATGTACCCCCATTCCTAAAATATTGTAATAGCGTAGGACTTTACATTTTTGCAATTTATCGCTTTTGAATTAAATGCTAGTAATTAGGGTGTGTATGGCAAGAAATGAAATCAAAAAATAGATCACCCTAATAAAGACTAAAATTCATGCAATCAAACACACTTGCACACAAACAACCTTAAGGTTAACTCCACTTGTTGCCTAAAAATGGTCATGTTATACATATGGGGTGTCTTAGCAAAGACAATCGAAATACAAGATCATAGTCCCTCGATGACGCTATAAATGTTTCCTTTCACAATGATCTTAGTCCCTCAAAAAGAAATGCTAAGATACCTCACAACATTGCTATCATGACTATACGATGACCCACGCCCGTCCCGCTTACCTCCAAAGATAGGGTTGCTTACCAAATCAATGGTAAGACAACAATGTCAAAGGAAAAGAAAAATGAACGAGAAAGACATTTGAGTAGGTAGATTGCTCCTAATTACTTGCTCCATTTCAAAACGAACATCCTTGTTATTTTCAAAAATAATCACCTACAAAAACACCTTTCAAACTTGAAAACATTTTCAAAAGATCAACACTTTGTATACATTCTTACGAACGAGAATCATTACAAAGTTTGCCTAAACAATGGCGTCTTTACAAAATACTTTCAAAAACCACACAAAGCACAATTTCAAACAAAAGCAAGTGATCTAGCAAGTAACTAAGAGCCCATGGAAAACCATGGATGAAAAGGGTGCTAATACCTTCCCTTTTCATAATCTACCCCCCGAACTCAAGAAACAATCTCAAAGGTCTTTCCTGTGCTTTTTCACCTTTCCTTTTGGATAAAAGAAAAGTCGGTGGCGACTCTTGCTAAACCGCAACATTTGCGATCAAACGCAAAACCCTCAAGTCAGTTCTCTCACCGCATCACACCAAACTATTCACACTCCTCTCTATTCAGACCCTTCTCTCTCGCACGTTTGATCCAAAGAGCTTCCCAGCAGACGGATTCATCCAGGGATAAAGCAAGAGAAGTCCGTTTAGCAGAATAAGCCAAAGCACACAACTCTTCCTGTAAGGACTTCCCAGAGAGGTCGACGCAAAAGGCCCATTCATCATGAAAGGGAGAATTGTGATGATCATGAGAAGTGTTGGGGCGAGAGTCGGGATTCACATTTGAACCTGAAAAAGGGAGAAGATTTACAGCACGGCAAGGTGGGTTTATCCCCCGCTTTAAGACTCGGACCCTTACTTCATCCTCCACTACACCCGCACAAAAATACAATTGTTATTCCAAGATAAACACAGAGAAGGGAAGTCAATAATGAAGAATATAGAGAACCCTGAACTTACCTAAGGAAGCCCTGCGACCTTCATGAGAACGGGACTCCATCAACAAGGAAACATCTATCAAACGCTTTTGGAGCTTCTTCTCAACCTCGCCAGAGGGGACCACATCCCCGACATAACCCATACGATTGATAAATTCTAACAGCTTCTTCTTCTGAAAATAATCCTCGACGGTAAAGTCACTTTCTTTATAAACTTAGGAGTCGTTATCCAAAAGAAAGTGGTTGAAGCAATATTTGAGTATTGCAGTTCCCTAAGAAGATCATAATCACTCCTCCAAATGCATGTGAAGTTATAAGGTAGTTGAAGCAAAGAAAGTATGTCTGGTGACCAATGTATGTGAATCTTTCAAACTCTCGCACATATTCCTTAAGCGCAAGGGCTTGAGGGCAACTGTTTCGAGCCGACCATATCCTCCGCAATCTGAACCCACCTTTAGAGATCTGACCACCATAAAGAAAGAACTCCCCAGATTGATTTGATCCAGGGACATTCCTTTTCCGAGCCTGGCACCACAAGGTGTAACATCCTGGATCCAACTTAAGTATATACTAAAGCTTCTGGAACATTCTTCTGGCCACTGAACATTTAATAATCTAAGAGCAGGAGATCCATCCCTCTAACGCATTCAACGGTCCTCCGCATTTTACGTCGGAAAGTTAGCAAGTTAGTTATTCTGCTTCCCTATATATGTGGATGGCGTCATTTCAAGTAACAGTTTTCAAACACAATTTTGAATACTCTCTCATCATTCACATACTAACTTGAGCATTGGAGTGCTAATCTTACGGATACACCTCTCTTTCGTCGCATTGAAAACTCTCCTCCATTATAACTTCCATGACTCCGCATATTTTTCATTCCGGTACAAAAAACTAACTAACAAACAAAATTAGTTATTCATCTAAGCAACTTTAGTAATGGTTGAATTATTTTCAACGGTTTTAATACTTAATAACATGAATTAAAGAAATAAGATTTTGACTTTTTAAAATTACTCATTTTATAATGGTCTGTCAAGTCCAACCACATACTTAAAAAGTCGACTCAAATATTAATCTCATAACAAGTTTAAATATTCTAACTTGTGGGATGTCCTAAAACACTTTCTAAAGAACCAAAAACCCTAATTACATAGCTTAAAAATCCCAATTTGTAAATGATTGCAACATTATGTTCAAACATTGCATCTAACAAAATGCCTTCTTTAGCATTAATATTTCAAATAAAGACAGACTCAAAGTAGGAGGGAGCATATGAAACAAAAGAACATTTATTATGTTTCCAGCAACCACGAGATTGAAGAATGCACATCACATGAAACTACTTGCAAAGTCATACAATATTAATGACCGTTGGGGAAGTTGGCCACACCCAATAACCTTTAATGCCGACAAATTAATGGATGAAAATGACACTTATATGTCACAATGACTCAACCCTAAATAGCATTAGCAAAATATTACATTTATTATTCCGTCCATTCAACTTAATTGGCGTTGCTCATGAGCATCAAATGCTAAGAGCAATAGTTGAAATTCACATCATCTCACTTATATATTTTTATTCACTTTTAAATAGTGAAATTCCCACATAGAGAAATGCTAATCATACACTAAATGTTTACACTTACACCGTAATTGTATATGGTTTTGTTTATTTGTTATGTTTCATAATTATATTTACTTTTTTCTGACCCAAGTGAATACATAATCATATTGAAGTTTAGATGGTGTAACATAGTTTTTGGGTGTCAAAATAGCAACACTCAAACACATATTGCAACTAAAAACACAATCATGAATTGGACAAACTAAATTAAATGAACCCACTCATTGAAGGATCATAACATAACTTGGTAGCTCCTAGCACGAAAGTTTTGTTTTGTTTATAGGTACAACAACGATAGACGGAGAAAACAAAGTCATGCTAAATAAATTTGATTTTATCTTAAAACACAAAAATAACAATGATTTTTTAATTAAACATATCAGTTATTCAATAAACTTTAAAATATAATTTTTTTTCTATATTGTTGAGATAGTTATTTTCAATGGAGGTAGTAAAATAAATATTTATAGAAATGGGCACATTTGTACCAATTCATGCAATAAATAATAATGTACAAGATTGGTCAATAATATCTACCAACAAGATTTGATTTTTCACATTCCAATGCTGCCTCATCTTTTCTCAACCCAAAAAATATTATTCTTATGCTAACAAGAATCAAATTTGTTAGTTGAGTAAACAAAAAAGTGAAACTGACAAGTTTATATAATAGAACTCTCACTTTAGTTTATAGATACACAAAAACTCAAACTTTTACATTCACATTTTGAAGATTTTTTGTTTCAACATTTTTTTATAGTTTTGGATCATGGTGGGAAGCATTTTGGGAAAGATAAACAATAACACACACTCAAATGGATCATCTGATAATCATAACAATGGATTAGAAGAGAAGCTTGATGAGTTTAGAAGCCTAATTGGTAAAACCAATGGTGACACATTGAGAATTGTGAGTATAGGAGCTGGTGCTTGGGGAAGTGTTTTTGCAGCACTTTTACAAGACAGTTATGGACAATTTAGAGACAAAATACAAATAAGAATATGGCGAAGACCGGGACGAAAAGTCGATAGAGAAACCGCGAAACATCTCTTTGAAGTTATCAATTCAAGAGAAGATATTTTAAGAAGGTTGATAAGACGATGCGCGTATCTTAAATACGTCGAAGCGAGACTTGGTGATAGGATATTGTTTGCTGATGAGATTCTTAAAGATGGTCTTTGTTTGAACATGATTGATACTCCTGTTTGTCCTTTGAAAGTTGTGACTAATTTGCAAGAAGCTGTTTGGGATGCTGATGTTGTTGTTAATGGCTTGCCTTCCACGGAAACTCGTGAGGTTTTCCAAGAGATTAGTGAGTATTGGAAAGAGAGGATTAGTGTTCCTGTTATCATTTCTTTGTCTAAAGGTATTGAAGCTGCTTTGGAGCCTGTTCCTCATATTGTTACTCCTACAAAAATGATTCATCAAGCAAGTAAGAGAGTTTTTTCTTCTTTTCTATTTCATTTCGTCTCGCATCCCACAATTTTCGAGTATATTCAATTACATGTAGATTTGAACTATGTTAATTAACCGATTAAAAAGTTGTCCTGAAAATTGTCTAAATCTAGTAATGAATGTTATACAAAATATGTTACCAAAAATCTAAATTTCTGATCAAAAGCGTATTTAGTGTTTGACATAAGACCGACAAATGTGATTACTTTCAATTTATTTATTTCTTAAGATTATTATCTGTGTCAATGTGCCTGTGTGCGTATTTGTGACAGCTGGAGTGCCTATGGAGAACATACTTTATCTTGGTGGTCCAAATATTGCATCAGAAATCTACAACAAAGAGTATGCAAATGCTAGAATTTGTGGAGCAGAGAAATGGAGAAAACCTTTAGCAAAGTTTCTTAGACAACCACATTTTATTGTATGGGACAATAGTGACCTTGTCACACATGAAGTCATGGGTGGATTGAAAAATGTCTATGCAATTGGAGCTGGTAAGCTCCAACTTTTACTACATATCTCAATACATTTTGTTTGATAAGCAACCTAGTTTAAAAGTAAAATGATACGAAAGAATGCAAACAGAGAACACACGATATTTGATCACGTCTCTGATGCTATCCATGCATGTCTTAATAGGAATGGTAGCATCCCTTACAAATGAGAGTGCTACTAGCAAATCAGTGTACTTTGCACACTGTACTTCAGAGATGATATTCATCACTCACTTGTTAACTGAAGAGCCTGAGAAACTTGCTGGACCATTACTGGCCGACACATATGTCACGTTGTTAAAAGGGCGTAACGCGTGGTACGGTCAGATGTTAGCTAAGGGTGAACTTAGCCCTGACATGGGCGACAGAATTAGCGGCAAAGGAATGATTCAGGTATAGAAACTAACAATGTTAACATCGACCGTTTCTAACAAACTTGTATGTAATTTTTTATATGCATTCGTTGATCTCTAAAGAAAAATGTTATGACCTGCCAATTATCTCTTCTAGGGAGTATCTGCGGTGGAGGCATTCTTCGAACTTTTGAGCCAATCAAGCTTGAATGTGTTACATCCTGAAGAAAAAAAACATGTTGCTCCTGTTGAACTTTGCCCTATCTTGAAGACACTCTACAAAATATTGATATCCAGGTAATTAATCTCCTAACATTAATTAGCATAAACCTTGGTGGCTAGTGTGACTAATCAGAGGATGTGAAGGTAAACTTGTCTGGTTAAGTGTTAACCGCCTCTAAGTAACTTCCTAACTAACTAATCTATACTCTTTCACGGAGCAAATATGTTTCTAATGCTTCTGGTGCATGCTGGATGTCTTAGGGAACAATCAACACAAGCTATTCTGAAAGCTCTGAGGGATGAAAATCTGAACGATCCACGAGAACGCATTGCAATTGCGCAAAGTCATGCTTTTTACAGGCCTTCACTTCTTGGACAACAGTGATTCCTTTCACTTCACAAAAACAAATGTGGATGTAACCATTTATAGGAAGCACGGGTCAAAGGAGCATATATCATTTATGCATTATTTTGTGATGTGATTGTTTTTTGCATTGCATTATTGTTTGTATATATATGTCAAAGTATAAGTCTCCATTAAGAATTTACCATGACATAAGCACTTATGGTAGTGTTTTATATAAACTAATGATATATCTATAAATTGTTTTTACCTTATTTCAGATATATTGAAAGGTGTTGGTAGTTTTGATTTAAACTATGGGATTGAATATTAAAAATAAAAATCAAAACATAACCTTATTTTGGTAACTAAACAATAACAAAGTCACGAGTTAAATTATGCTTTTTGTAAAGTGCATTTTATCATTATTAATTCATTTGTGTCGTGTGGGAGTGAATTCCTAAAAAATTTAGGTGATTATAGAGCTTAGTCTTGGTCTTCTTTTTTACCACCAAAATTAATATACTAGACGAATCAATATAAAACTTTAGCATTTTTAAGCAAAAAGTGCTTAACTGTTAAATGTATTTTGAATTGTATCATGGCTTTGGATCACAAAGCAGATCAATGTGGACACAAGAGCTAAGTTTCAAGTCTCTAATGAGGCTGCAAAGACTAACAGCTACTAGGAAGAAAACCTATACTTCCTTTCATTTACAAAGTATTCTATCTATAGTCTGTACAAAATCCATTTCTGCGTGCCTAAGTATTTTTCACAACTATGTCAGAATCGTATGCCAAACTCCGTGGAAGCACTGGACCTAACCAAAAAATGATACCCAAAAGAGAATTGCAAAAATGGGCTAACACTATCAAGCCCACAAGTAAGTTCAGCGGCTGCTGAGTCGCATAACTAATTGTTCAACCAAAGCTGCTTTGTTAAGCTTAGAGATCTTTGCTATTTTGTGTTGCTTTGCCATGGGCCTCAACTCAGCCAATTTCTTTTTCATCAAGGTTTCTGTCGAGTAAACAGGGAGCAAAGATGAGCTCTCATTATGAGGATCCACCAGCGCAAGCGGCGAGACATCCAAAGTTGTTGTATCAAAGTAGTTAACAAATGAATTTTGTACTTCTGAGGTAATTGACAACTCTGAGACTTGTCCTTTCTCTTGTAATTCAGAAAATTTGCTGCCATAAAGCACAACAGCATTGCCATCAGTTTCATTCTGACTCGGCTGCCCAGTCCAATTAGTAATTCCAGCAGTACAAGTTTCTGGTTTCCGCTGCCTCTTGGTTGAAGCATAATCACTGTCATAAAGAACAAGATTATTACCATCAATTTCATGCTTGCCTGGTTTCAAAGTCCTCTTACTAATTTTACTATTCATGGGCTCATTTAAGATTTTACCAGCAGTAGAGGTTTTGGGTTTCCGCTGCCTCTTGGTTGGTGTATAATCGCTGTCATAAAGATCAACATTATCATCAATTTCATGCTTGCCCGGTTCCACAGCCCTCTTAGTAACTTCACTATCCATGGGCTCATTGACTGTAGCAGCAGTACAGGTTTTCGGTTTCCGTTGCCTCTTGGTTGATACACTCTTAGATGCACTTGGAATAACTTCTGCAGGACTGTTAAATGGTTCTCTGGCAGAACATGCCTCAAATTCTGGTTTCTTCTTTCCCTGACGTTTATAGGACTTGCTGAAGTTAACATCAACTTTGGCCTTTAGGTCTAGCGCTTGCAGGGCATTGTTGACAATATTTTTTTTAATGGCACATGATTCTGTATCAGAAAGACACAAATTTTGAGGAAAAACAACTTGTAAGGGTGCATCCATAGATTCCAAATCCTCATCTGGAGCAACCTCAGGTTCTTTCTTGCTGGCTCTTCGTGCAGTTTTCAGAACAAAATTATGCATAGATTCCAAATCTTCATCTGGAGCAACCTTGGATTCTTTCCTGCAGGCTCTTCGTGCAGTTTTTGGAATAAAATCACACAACTTTTTAGCTAAATCAAAATTTTCACTTTCTTCTTGTAGACTAGTACCAAATCTGGGATGAGAATGCATTTTTATCTCCTTCAAAATTGCAAGCTTATAATCATCCGAGCATACATTTCCTTGGAGATTCGTATTAACTTCCTGCATAATTTTAAGAAAAAGCAATGAATGGAATACATTGTTTAAAATCAGATTAGAAAAATGCAACGGCCACATCCAAAAGTTTTAAATTGGTTAAAAGAGGAAAGGCTTTTTGCACCTTGGTTTCACTTGGAATACTTCTGTTTCTCTTCGACCAAAATGGATTCAAGGTTTGACCTGCACTTTTAGCAATGAGTTGGCTCCCCTTGATAAAAGGAAGTCTATGATCATCTGAGCAGACATTTTCTTTCACAGTTATATTTACTTCCTGCACAATTTAAGAGCAAACAATGAATAGAGTCCCTAGTTTAAAGTCAAAGTAGAGAATTGCAACTACCACATTCAAGAGTGTTAAATTGATTAAAGAGGGGAAAAGGGTTTTCACCTTGGTTTTACTTGGAATATTTTGGTTTTCCTTGGACAAAAACGGATCCAAGATATGACCTGACTCAGCAGTAATGCTTCCTTTGATAATTGCAAGTCTATCCTCATCTGAGCAGACATTTTCTATGAGAGTTGTATTTTCTTCCTGCACAATTTAATAAAATACAATGAACAGAATACCTAAATTAAAATCAAAGAAGAAAAGTATTACTGCCACATCCAAGAAGTATAAAATGAGTAAATGAGGAAAAGGGCTTTTAGCACCTTGGCTTCACTTCGAATATTTTCATTTCCCTTAGGCAAAAACTGATTCATGATTTGACCTGTCTCTGTAGCAATGAGGAGGCTCCCCTTGATAATAGCAAGTTTATGATCATCTGAGCAGAAATCTTCTATGACAGTTATATTTTCTTCCTGCAAAATATAAAAGAATGTACAAAGTCAGAGTAGAAAACTGCAACTACCACATCCAGCACGAGGTTTAAACTGAATAAAAGAGGAAAAGGGGTTTTTTGCACCTTGGTTTCATTTGGAATATTTTCATTTCCCTTAGACAAGAATGGATCCAAGATTTGATCTGACTCAGTAGTTAGGAGTTTGTTCCCTTTGATAGTGGAAAATCTATAGCCATCAGAGCAGACATCTTCTTTGAGAGTTGCATTTTCTTCCTGCACAATTTAACAAAACACAATGACCAGAATACCTTGATTAAACTCAAAGTAGAAAATTATAACTGCCACGTCCACGAGCTTTAAACTGATTAAAAGAGGAAAACAGCTTCAGGCACCTTGGACAAAAACGGATTCAAGATTTGACATGTATCTGTAGTAATGAGTTGGCTTTGCCCGACATCATCATCTCCAGTAACTTTATCATCTAATGTATCAGATGATATCATCCTTTCAGAATGGTAAGGTACACAGCTAACAACCCCCAAATCAGGACTTCTCACAAGAGATATTGCAAGCAATTCCTTCATTAAAAAACAAAATTAATCAGGTTCAATAGCTTAGACAAGTTTAGCAAGGTTTTAAGTGCACATTATGTTCAAAATTAAAATTTTAGTAAAACCCAAGAAGATAGAAATCTCTCTACTATACTTATACCAGTGCAGCCTTTGGTCTTTGATACAAAATTACCATACATAAAAATGGTTGAAAAGCTTATATCACCACAAAAGGGAAAAAAATCCAGACTTACACTCTTTTTTCTTAGGGTTCAGTACCAGATTCAAACTGTCAAGAATTTAAACTAAACTTTGGTGTTTCTTCTCAATGGATAAGTTACATTTTTTTTATTTGCATCTTTGAAGGGCTATTTGATATTGATATTTAAGACATGAATGAAGGGGTGCAACGAAAAAATTTATGATTAATTATCATAAGCACAACATCAAGAGGTTTAAACACTAGCACTATTTCATTGATAAAAAATATGTTAGTAAATTGGAATGGTAAAACCAAATCTTATTTCAATCTCAGTTCAAAATGTATCTCTAATGATTTTCTTGACAGAAGGAAACAATATTTGGTGAAGCTGAATTCCTCAATATATCATTTCGGACTAGGATGATTGGACAGAGAATTTAAAATACTAATTAGCAGGAAACTTGAGCAATCATAGAATCATGTACATCTCTTACTCAAAGTATGCTTATTTGTAAATGACAAGTATGCTGCATATGCCCATATATGTTATTAGACATACTCAAGCTTCATTTTAAATGCTATTGTTGGTGACATATCTCCACTATATGCATATAAAGATTGATCAGCTTTAATGCATGAATCATGGCGTTACATGGCCTAGAGAGAGGCAGAAATATTATATATATATCATGTTAAAAGCAACTGTGTATGAAGCAAGTTGACATGTTTTACAACCATTATGCAAACACATCAAATAAGCATACACATTTTTAAACACGCCTAACATGACAGACAGCACGGGTAACAAGAGTAGAAAGATTGGTGTAATAAATCAGTTACTTCATGCAGACAAATAAAATGTTCACTAAGTTTTAAAATTAATACATTAAGAAAGGCAGGAAGATAAAATAAGTGCTGCTTGAACTAAAATAAAGTACATAGCTTTCTCAACCTTGCCCTTTTCAGGATCATCTGGTCTCTTTTCATGAAGCTCCGAAAGAAGCTCTGAGTTGCTAGAGTTTTCCGAGCTTTCAAAGTCGTCTTCTCCTCCCTCCCTTATGATAACATTTGCATCGCTATTGTTAGAATCATTGTCCGGTGCATGTTCAGTAACATTCACAATTGGACTCAGGATGTTCTCATCTAGACTCTGCTTCAAATTGAAGGAAAGAAAAACCCAGTTAAGTTAGAAACCAAGTGTGAAGAACGGTAAAATTAGTTTACATTATCCAATGATGATCCTCTCTCATGGAATATGAGCTATGGAATTTTATAAAGAACAATATTGTCACAACAAACTGCTTTGTTGTCCAAAGGAGCACAATCATAAAGCACCCATCAATTTAGCCTGCAGAAATAAAGGGTGGCTTGTAGCAAAGAAAGAGGCATCTAAAACGATTGGCAAATACAAAATTAGAACACATTAAAAAGGTAAATATAGCAGAGCCTCTTGTCACTCTTCTAAAGGAAAAAAATTACATACTAATATAAACTCAGGGAGGGGAATTGGCTTCAATAACCAAACCTGGACATGTGCATCTTGGCAGTGATCTTTATGTAGAACCTTCAATATTTCATGAAGTGTCTCAGCAGGTTTACTATGCAACAGTAGCTGCACCTCTGTATCATCAACATGATCACTCTTCAGAGCAGTAACCGCAACATCGAGCTGGTTAATTCTTTCGGTCAACGCACTACAGCATATTTCAGGCCACTGTTCATTCTCAGTCCAGGACAATTCATTCTGAAGGCACAAGAGATCCTTTTCCAGCTCATCAATTTCAGTATCCGCTTTAGTGATCAAAATTCTCAAAACCTGAACACAGGATTCCGCATTCAAGGCATCTTCTTCAATCTCATCTGTAAAACTCAGCAGAAAGCAACAATAAATACAAAGTACCAAAACCAAACAAAATACAGGGTGAGCAAGTATAAGAATAAATACCACGAGCACAGCCACGGCCAAAGTAATCACAGTGCCACTTGAGAATCTCGGAGTAATCACCATCATATGAAACTAACACCAGCAAATCACATGCCAAAAATAGGAACAAAATCAAGTTAGACGAAATTCAGTTTTCAAGCAACCAAATAAACCATTGTTCACAGAACACCGCATCCGATATACCAAATTGAAAAAGAAAAAAAAAAAGGAAGATGATGACAAAATAAGAAACCTAAGTCAGAAGAAGGACTCCATAAATCCCAATCCATGAAACCCCAAGAAATATTTCCTGAAAAACAAAACAACAACAACAACAACATAACAAAACCGCTATCAGCATTATCGCCCCATCCGTAGAGCCAACAATAGCCAACAACAACAATATCATAAAGAAATGCAACAGAGAATGTTGTGAAAGAGTCAAAACAACAACCACAAGAACAAAAAAGGAATAAAGAAACAAAAAACGTGATGAACGGAAGAAAAAAAGTACAAGCAAAAGTGAAAAACTTATTGTATTAGAACGACAAACGCATTGAATGAGTTTCGAAAATGAAAACCATCTGACACCAACAGTTATTGAATTTCAACAACACACGCAGCCAGAGTTATAAATGAAGCATTTAACGACAACAGTGACATTCATAAATGCGCGTTGATGTTCAAAAAGCTACAGTACTAGAGTGAAAATGAGAAATGAAGAAGCGAAAATGGAGGGAAAGGAACCTGAAAATGCGAGCGCCTAGGGTTTCGGGATGAAGCGGAGAAGAGAGCAGGAGGACTGTGTGTTTGTACTGCCATTGAATGAAAGCGACTACTGAGGGTTGTAAGGTCATTTTAAATCTTAATTGGGACCCACTTTGACTTGGGTCATTGGGGGCCGTTTGATCTTTTCAGGTGTTCTTTTTGTTTTTTTTTTTATTTAGGAAAAGAAAATGTATCAACAACTCTCAAATATCATCCATCTTTCATTATTTACGCTTATGTTCCAACCATGTGAATATGTGATCTTATGTTTAAACCATCTAATTTTATGATCCAATTCTGTGATCTGGCTACTTCGGATGCATGGGTTTCAATATTTCTTTTTCCTTATTTTTCAAATTTTCTATAACTCTTTAATCGTGTGTATTTAAATTCTCGAGACTAAATATATTATGGACCATCCATTAAAAAAAATCTAAACTTAAACATAAGGTGTTTAGTTCAACATTAGAGAATGACACAATATAAATCATTTATATAGGGACATTTGTGTTGCCTTTCTCTGGGAGCGGCCGAATATAGTAAAATGGAGAAATGATGTATTTTTATTTTATAGTTGTATAAAATAAGTCATTTGACTATATTCTCTGAAATAATAGTTAATTAATTATACACTCTTGCATCTTCACAATGATGGTTTCTATTATCAAAGGGCCTAGGATCTAGGCACAAGATCGTTATAAATACTTTAACATTGAAGTTGATGAGGAGAATCTGTTTCTCACATAAAAGATCATATATACAAAGCTTTTCACCCCTCACAAGAGTTTGCTCTTAATCTAACAATTGTGATACGGTGGATGTTGTACCCCAAAATTTGCCCTCTCATTTCCTCAACATTTTCTCACCACAAGACCCTTGGAGCTCAAGATCCAGTTAGGGTTTGCTCTGCTCAAGACTCCTCCTTGCACTGTTGACCCAAATTAGGGTTTGTGTTTGCACAAAGATGTTTTGACCTAAAAGGCCCAAGGTGACTTTCATGCTTCATGTTGGACCCACAAGTTTATCCATACCAAGTTTCAAGCCTTGATTACAATCTTTGCCCAGTCAATTGGACAGTTGACCTAGAAATCAACTGTATTGGGGAAAAGTCAATTGTGGTCAATTGACAGTCAAACCTCATGATTTTTGACCCACATCAACATTATGAACTCATATGGACCATTTGATCAAGTTTTGATCACAATTCCACAAGAAATTTGATCAGATCATCAAAAGGGCAAAATGGTCATTTTTAGGGTTTTGACTGCACAAAGGCAATTTTTGACTGTTTGACCTAGCCAATGGCAAACCAAGCTCACATATAGACTCAAGGACCCAATGGCATTGTCTTGACATGTTCAACAAGTTCAAAAGATCCCAATTGCAAAAGATTGACAGATGAATTTTTCAGTCAACTGAGCCAAAATTGACTGTATACTGAAAAGTCAAACTTTGACTTTTTGGTCAAAATCAAGTGTCAAGATTCATTTTTCATCAAGACATGTCAAATTATGAAACTTGTTCATCAAGAAATCAAGAATCACAAATTAGGGTTTGAAATGAAGAAATTTCATAACTTAGAATTTTTTCTAAGTTATGAAAATCTCTCATTTTTTCCTAACTTTGTCCCACTTTCTCATCAAGATTCATTTGGATTCAAGCAAAACTCAAAACATGAAAGTTATAGTCCATTGCAAAATCTACAACTTTGATTCACAAAGTTTCCTCAAAAGAAGCTTGTAGCTCAAGTTATGATTTTTGGAACAAGGGTGCAAAACATTCTTAACTTAGAAAAATTTTGACATATTTTAGGCAGGATTTTTGCCTAACTTCATGGCCACTTTTCACATGCTTCCACTTGGAATTTCAACTTGCATTACAAAGATGGATTGTATTACACATTCCAAGCTTTCCAAAATGTCCAAGAACTCATCAAACAACCTTGTGGTTAGGGAGAATCGAATTTGGCAATATAGACAAAAGTCACTTTGTTCATGAGCCATCTTCATGTTCATACACTTTGCAATTTTTCAAATCAGCATGTGCAAGCTAGTTACAGGCCTCTAATCCTTTTCTTACTCAATAATTAAATGCCAATCCATTGTGCCAAGATGTTATTTTGTGCATTTGGTCATTACATGAAGAATTAAGCCTTAATTAGAAAAAGCAAGTTATCCATTTTTATAAAGTTACACTTTATGTCAAGTTTGCAATCCAAGAGGTACAATGCATGTCTTCTAGGCACAAGTTATTGAACATATCCCACTGATCAAGAGCCAACTTTGCAGCATATTTGAGGGGCCTAGAGGAACCTGTAACAGAACTTGGCATTTTTGACTTAGAAAAGAAGCAACTTTGCAAATACAACACCATCTCTCATTCCTGCAGGAACCAGCCAAGGCAAAGTTTGTAAACATTTTCCATACATCATAACTGAGCTAAGACACGACCTAACCACCTTCAATACCTCCCCATTCACAGAAACACCATTGTACTGCACAAAATAGGGCATCCCTGCAGATTGAGTGGCACAACTCAATCCATCCGTGCGCCTTGGCCAAAACCACTTCATACACACTCCATAACATCCATACAAACTATCCCAAGCCCTAGCTTCAGACTGTAACACCTCTAACCAACTTCACCATTTTCACTTTTTCTGTTTTGCAGGTTGACTTCTATAGCTCGATTCATTTAGTTTCAAAGCAAACTAAAGGTTGGAGAAGTATCCCTGAACTTCAAGCAAGTTGTACAAGTCCTCAAGTTGCACTAAAAGTACCTCCATTGTCATACACGAATCAAGCTGAACAGGTAAGTTTTTGAACTTCTATCTCTCTATCCAGGCATAGTTAGGTTTAAGTTTGTGAAGAAAACATGTTCTAATCATAGCCCTGAAGCCATCCATATAGTTACTTTTCATTTATGTCGTGTGTGCTAAGAGTATTTTGAACCTGAACATTAGGAAAAAGTTAGGTCAAGAATTGGGGGAGAAGAAATTCTCTCTCATTTCTGAGAGTTAGATCAAGTTCTTGGTATGTATGGATTCGTGGTTTGATGCTTGACATTTTTTGTGTTATAAGTTTGTGCTAAAAGTCCAAGAATCAGGATGTTTGAACAAGGTGGGAAAGGCGCGCGTTTTTGACAAAATTGTTGCTGGAGGTTGAAGACGAGCCTTCTTGGGCTGGGCCTGACTTGTTCTTTCTTTTTGCACTCTCATTTTTCACATACACCCCCTGGCCCATTTTGAGATATATTTGTCATTTTTGATTTTTTTTCCTTTTGATTTTGATTTTATATTTTTATCCAAACATGAAAAAACATTAAAAATATTTTTCTCACATTTTTTGCATTTTATTTGGTATTTATTTTGTTTCATTTAGTTCATATGTAAATAAACATATAAATACTTTTATTTAAAATACTAGAAATAATATCAATACATTTTTATTTTCTGATTTTATCTTATTTTTCTCTTGAAAACATTTTCTAAAAAATATAATTTTTTTTGTAAATATTAAATATTTTATTTTTATACATATTTAATATATTTAGTAAATAATATAAATACTTATATATTTATTAGTATATTTAGGTTAAAAATATAAAAATAATACATTTTTATTTTTATTAATATTTAACCTCAAAAATACTTTTTTACAATATACTTTTTTTTGTACATAATTAATAAATGTTGTATATATTAAATAATAAACACCTTTTATTTAGCAAAATTAGGGTTTGCCCTAAAATGTAAAAATATCCAAAATTATTCATTTTTATTTTTGTTTTTTTTTTGTCACATAAAAAACATCTTTTACATACATATAAAAATCATTTTTTGCATCTTGCATATTTATTGTATTTTTATTTTATGCAATTAAATACCTTGTAAAATTTCAATTTGGATGTAATAGTTAGATTTAAATTTCTTGCTAAAATATCTTCATTTGAACATTTGTACCCCCCATCCCATAATTATGTTGTAATAGTTTAGGACTTTAAATTTCGCATTTAAAAGCTTTCTAAATATGCCATGATAGACTTAGGGTTTGTATGCAAAAATCAACCAAAATAGTTTGACCTAATTCAAGACAAAAAGCATGAAAATGAACAAACACCAATCACACTTGCACCCCTAGGGTTACTCCATTTGTTTCCTTCAATAATGGGCCATGTTGCATGTTAGGTATCTTTGGCAAAACAAAATCAATTCAAATGATCATAGTCCCTCGATGACGCTTTCGAAAGTTGCCTAAAAATGATCAAGTCCCTTAAAGGAAAAATTGCCCAAAGATACTTGGCACCATTGCAATCATGGTCCAAACGATGACCCGCACCCGTCCCGTTCACATCCTAACACAAGATTTTCCACCAAATACAACGGTGGAACAAAATTGTTAAAAGGGTTAAAAACTTAGCAAAGATCTTTGAGTAAATTTAGGAGTAGATAACTCTTGGTTACTTGCCAACTTGCAAAACAAAAACACTTGCCTATTTTTCAAAACCACACATCACAATACAC